TCCCAAAACACACGGCTTAAATTAATTCACAAATAAATTATATTAAACTTTCTTCTGGCCGGGGCGCGGTGGCTCACGCCTGCGGTCTTCCTCTCAGCGCCCACTCTTGGGAGCCGGGAAGGCTGAGTGAAGTGGGGAGCACTGCCGTCCGAGCGACGATTGTTTGAAACTTCGAGGCAGAATCTCCTCTCAGCAAGACTGGTGAACCCTGTCCTATTGAGCATATCAGTCTGCTTGAATCGACATTAAAATCCCTATGAGGCCGTACCTACATCCATGTTACAGGTCCAATCTCGCTCTTGCTCAGGCTGGTTTCGAACACCTGACCTCAAGCAATCCGCCTGCCTCGGCCTCCCAGAGTGCTAGGATTACAGGCGTGAGCCACCGCGCCCGGCCTAGATGACCTTTTATATTTGATGTCAGATCAGAATTCAAAAACACATTGCATCAATACCTTCATAGTCCAAGTCTCTGTAAAATGAAGCCCCCAGGTATTGGTCCACCTTTTTAAGAAACTCTCAATGTGATAGAATGTCAGACAGTGAAAGAGTTGGGCAACATCATGAATTCATGGTGACAAAATTTGAGTCTACTTTGATTTTAGAATTTGCACTTAACTCCATTCATCTAGGTTTTCAAATAGGGTAGCAATACCAGTTTAGAAATCCTTGACAGACTAAACCATCATACTTTTTTTTAGACAGAGTCGCTCTGTCACCCCAGGTAGAGTGCAGTGACATCATGATAGCTCACTACAACCTCAAACTCCTGGGCTCAAGCAATCCTCCTGCCTCAGGCTCCTGGGTATCTGGGATTACAGGCATGAGCCACTGTTCTGGTCTCTGTGATTTTAATTTGCATATCCCTGATGATTAGTGATGTTGAACATTTTTCATAAAACTACTGTTGATTTATATGTCTTCTTTTGAGAAATATCTGTTCAAGTCTTTTGCCCATTTTTTAACTGTTATTTGTTTTCTTGCTATTGAGTTCCTACAACTTTGCGATTGTGAATCATACTGCTATAAAAATTCAAGTGCAGGTGTCTTTTCCATAAAGTGACTTTTGATCTTTTGGCTAGATGCCCAGCAATGGAATTGCTGGATCAAATGGTAGATCTACTTGTAACGCTTTAAGGTATCGCCATATTGCTTTCCACAGAGTTTCGAATGAGTTTTCGTTAGTCCCACCAGCAGTGTAGGTAGTGTTCCTAATCATCTCAGCATCCATTGCCCAACTATTTATCTGTTTTGGGAACTTTTTGAATAAATGCCATTCTCACTGGATTAAGCTGATATTCCATTGTGGTTTTGATTTGCATATTCCCTGATGAATTAGAGAGTTGGAGCATCTTTTTCATATATACTTTGGCCATAGTATTCCTGTCTTCTTTGATAAGTCATTCCTGTGTCATTGCCCTTTGTGCCCATGTTTTGATAGGGTTGTTTGCATTTTTTCGTGTGCTGATTTTCCTGAGTTCTAATAGATTCTAGTTATCAAGCCCTTTATCGGATGTGGTCAGCTTTGTGCAAAAGTTTTCCTCCCATTCTGTGGGCGTTTCTGTTTGTCTTGCTCTTGACCAGTTTTCTTTGGCTGTCCAGAAGCTTTTTTAATTTGATCAATCCAGATTTATTTATGTCTTTTGCCGCATGTGATTGCACTTTGGGGTCTTCTTCATAAATTCTTGCCAATCGGCCAATGTCTAAGAAAGTATCTTCCAACGTTCTTACCTCTACCGCCAATTATCCTCATCTCATTTTCGTTCAGGTGAGGAACCCTCTCGAATCCAAGCAGCTTTGGACTAAGACACGTAAAAAATTCTGTACGAGAGCCCATTTGCTCTACTGTAGCCATCCTCTCATCCTGTTCCTCTCATCACTTTTCTAATGTCCTTCGCTCTTTTCTTTAATCTCTGTACTTCTCCACGATACAGCCACCCCCTCTTTCTTCTTCCCTCTCCTATCTATTCCTTTTACTCGTGTGCTTAAGGCTAAATGGATTGACATACAAAGTAACTGAGAATACATATGCACCAAGTATCAGCCACAGTGAGGTGGTGTGTATCCTCACTTTACTCTGCATTCCTCCGTTCCTCCTGAATTGTAGAGAATTTGTAAACGTAGATCTCCTACTCTACATCGCATCCCACGCACTGCACACCACAACTAGCCATTCTATATCAAAATTCATATTTCAGGCCGGGCGGCTGTGGCTTCACGCCTGTAATTCCCTAGCGCTCATTGGGAGGTCCGCAGGCGGCGGATTGTCTCAAGTCAGGAGTCTCTAAAACCAGCTGAAGCAATGAGCTCGAGACCTCTCCGTCTCTACCTATGAAAGTTACGAGTAGGAATTACACCTTGGCCAATCTGATATATTATTTATCATTTTATAATCAAATTCCAGCCGGTGCAAATTGGTGTTGCGCATGCCTGTGAATCCCAGCACCGGGAGCTGAGGCAGATAGGATCACCTCGAGCCACCTAGGAGACTTCTGAGGTTTTGCTGTGACTAGGCTGCGACGCCACGCTGCAGCTTATCCACTCTAATGCCTGGACAATCATAAGCGAGACTCTGCCCTGTCTCAAAAATAAAAAAAAAACAAAAAAAAGATTCCTATTTCATCGCTGTACAGCAAAGGAGTAAAAAGAGTCCCTCTCATTTTCTTTCCTACAATATCCCCTGCCCCCATTCTGTATTAAGTTATTATGGCCTGGCAGATGTGTAGAATGAAGCCGATGCCTCTGGAAGATTCTGAACTTTACAGAGCTATCTATGAACATTAATATCCCTTTCCCTCACTTGATCATTGGTTTCCGAAGAACCCCCTGGCCTGTGCATAGATTACAAGTCAATAATTTATTTCCAAATGGTTTATTGTGAAATTGCTCCTGAGTGCAAACTAGTCTAGGAGCACACACTTTTCCTGCTAACAGGGTCCAGAGGGTTCAGGTTTTTCTCAGGCCAAACACAGTCCACTGTCATCTCTGACTATCATGACATCCAAGCAGCTACAGACCCCCGTTGTGTGTAACATATAACATAGCATGGTTGTGTTCCAGTAAGAGTTTCATTTACAA